TACATTGGGGCTGCTCTGGAAAAAAAATGCCCAGCACAGCCCTAACACATCTGGTGTGAATGAACTCCCAAAAAGAATCGGAGCTCTCCCCACAGACATTGCTTTTGATTTGTTTGTTTATTTAAGGGACCAAAAAGTAGCAAATATGAAAAGTTTGTTGATTGTTTTACATACACGTTAAACAAATTGTTGTTAGCAGCCCAATAGAAGCAGGCTCTCCAGGTAGAGGTATTTTGCAACAGATTCACAAACAAATGAACTGCCTAAAAAAACTGTATACAGATTCTAAATATACGAAAAATACTAAAAATACATTTTGGGTTTACAAATACATGCTTTATTTACTTAAAAAATGTCTTCAGTGTTCACCAACCTTTTATTTTTCACATGCCAATTTTATTTCAAAAGCAATGCAGCTATTTGGGATGTTTCTATGCATAGCATTATTTTTCTCATGATAGTGATTTTCAGTTGGGTTTAAATTTATACTTCAGGCAGGTATACAAAAATGATTTAAATTCAGTGGTGTTTTCCTTCACAAATTATGCAAGGGCTACAGTAGCCACCGCTCCAAGCTCGCTTCTGTGATGGACTACAATGTCACATTTAGTTTATTCATTTGTATTGTAGTCCATCACGGGAGCAAGCTTGGAGTGATAGCTACTTTACAACACATACAGAGACAATGGGGAACAAAGTTAGAAAGCCAGTTAGGAGCCTTTATTTAAAAAAAAAGCTTTATTTTCAATGACCGTTGTAATTTTCAATTAAAATTTTAATTGGCGCACACGGTGATACCTGACGTGCAGTGCAATCATCATTTCCGTACGTAGGTGCACCTGGCTTGTGCTTCTGTTAGTAACAATAGTATTGGACCCCTAGTGTCACCTTTCCACTTCAATAGCTTTAGCTGGGGAATGAAAGCTGCCTGCCGAAGCAGCTGAATGCATGCACAGCAGGCAGTGGCTGAGAGCAATAGCCAGCCTGCTATTGGCTATTTCAGATTGCAATAGCAGGCTGGCTGGTTATTGCACCCATCTACTGCCTGCTGTCATTCAGCAAAGGAGGGAACTGAAGGAGAAAGTTCTCCTTCAGGTTCGCTCCTTTGCTGATCGGCAGTGAATGGGTGCAATAGCCAGCCTATTATTGGCTACTGCAATTTAAACTAATCAATAGCAGGCTCACTATTGCTGCTGGCCATTGGATTGGCAATTGATCTGAAGAGGGGGCACAGCGGCTGACAGTGGTCTGTCCTCTTCGCTCGGTGCTGGCTGCAGCGGTCTGTGTCCCCTTCGATCCCTGCTCCCTCTGCTGATGCAGGCAGGGTGAGCATCAAGGGATCGAAGGGGACACAGACCGCTGCAGCCGGTGCCCAGGAAGGAGGAGAACAGGAGGAGCAGAGCTGATTCGGCAGCGGAGTTGGCAGCTGGGGACAGCAAATGGGCTGACAAAAGCCCAGGTGCCAGGATATAATTTCAGGTCACCATAGCGACCTAGCGTCTGAGATTTGTCGAGCCCTGAGTTAAATACGTGAATGCATTTTGGAGGTTGGACTTATTTTCTAGTTCACTTTTGGTGTACTTGCTTCAGAGTACAATGCACATTCTGCATCTGCGTGCTGATATGAAATCATCTTACATTCATTAGCTAAGCAAACATATATTTTTGTTTTACTTACAATTTCTTTTTTTCTTCCTGGTCCACTTTGGCACAAATCATGTAATTGTGCCCAAGCATTGCATCCTGGGAAAGTTACATCAGCAGAGCATTGCTGGGAAAAGTTCAACTGTAATCTCAGGAGATCTCAGGGAAAGGGATTGTCCTCCCCTGAGATGTGTGTGGTCACATGTCCTAGTCACATGTGCCAGAGTTCCAGGAAGTAAAGGGGGATCTAGTAACCTTCCGTTAGTTAAAATGGCCACTGTGAGAAGAATAGGGAGGAAAAGAAAAAAAAGGTGTGCAAAAAATAAAAAGCCCGGCAATTATCTAGAAGAATCAGTTTGTAGATTTGCCATTACTAAACATTTCTAAAGGTGTGTTTGTTGTTATAGTTGAGCAGTGGTATGGCTGTGGTAAGGCTATACTGTCACTTTAGAATTTGATGTGATAGCCATATGAAAATAGATCTCCCACTTTCCATCGAGGTGTCATTCATATTAAAAGGTCTTGTATGTAAATCGTTTTTAAAGTAACTTTTGGAAGTTGCACTTTGATTGGATAGGCGTTTAATATCTAATGTGCTGTAAAGACAGCTACTGGAGTCTTGTGACATATTCCGTGTACGGCAAGATGTGCTATTTGCTTCTTGCCATAAGCATTTACTCAAGTGTTTAAGTATACTTGTACTGTTCAAAGAAATTGAAATCATTTACTTCTAATGAAACAAAAATGCACTGGTGAAATGTTGCGCTTGCATATTCTTACAGAAATGCCTACGTTTTTTTTTTGTAACCATCTACCAGCCGGCCATATAATTACAACGGCCGGCCGGGAGGTGGATTCTTGGATGAGACTGCCTGTTGGCCCCGCCCACTCGCATGCATGGCACGGGAAACTGCCAAGTTTAAAAACGGGCAGTGATGCCTGTTTACATACAAGCGATCCGCCGGCTATACAGCCAGCGGATCGCTTGTATAAGGTGCTGGTCTGTGCGCCCCCTCCCACTGGTCCCGAGCTCCGCTGTGCCCGATGCAAACCTAGGACCAGCACGGTGGCTCTGTGACGGGATCAGAGGGAGCTCGGTACACAATCTCCCTCCGATCCCCTTTCCGGTGTCAGAATGCGGAAGTGATGTATATTACATCACTTCCGCATTCTGCTGTCACTCTCCAGCTTCAGAAGCTGGAGAGAAGCTATTGAAGCAGATCTCTGCTTCTTTGGGGACCCCAGATGTCTCCATAAAGAGGACCTGTCACATCTCTATGCTACCACATAAAGGGTCTCTTAGCCCCCTATGTGATAACAATAAAGTTAAGTGGAAAAAAAAAAAGGAAAAATAAAATTTAAGTTGCAAAAAAAGTCGCACATGAAAAAAACATGAAAAAAAACCCCACAGTCCCCGCGCATACGTGCAAAAACGACTATTGTGTCCGTTACGCCGCACATGTTACATATCGCAGCGGACGTTGCAATGAGAGCAATACCATCAATCACTGATAACACTAAACTGATGAGCGGTAAAAGCTTTTAAAGCGTCCCCATTGTCAATTTTGGGTATGGTATTTTTTTACGATTTCGCGGGTGTGCGCAATTTTAAGACTTGACATATTTGGTGTCTATTTACCCGACGTAGATCCATGAACCCATCACACTCCTGACCGCTTATCACCAAGAAAAATCAAATGGGTGCTTCGGTGATCGACTGATGGCAACCGTCATAGAACAGCAGGATCCCCTTCCTCAAGCAATGACATGTGGCAGAGAGTACAGAAACACACAGTTTAAATAGCAACCACCCACAAAGCAAGGCCCAATCCAAACATTTTAGTGACTCAGTGACGTCATGTGTGACGTCACATTCTCGCCAGGACCCTTTCAAAATACAGTAGTAAAGCCTCAGAGGTAAACAAAGGAGATAAGAACATGCATGATCTGGAGTTTTCATATGTTACTAATCTCAATCTGGGCATTGTATGAAAGTATAGATCGAGTATGTAGTGTGAGCAACTTGTTGGTTATCACCTGGAAAGAATAGATGCGGCAGTAGAACCGCTGTTGTGCCGCTGGATCAGTCCGTCCTGATGTGTGGATGAAGTGATCCACAATCACGGTATTCAGGCCGCCTCACTCGTATTAGCCTGAATAGTGTCTGGTGTTACTGGGTTACCGCAATCAGGGCGGAACCCAGCCGACGTCACGCCTCCAACCAATAGGGTAGCAGTGGGCGTTGATATTGAGCCCGTGATTATGGATCACTTCATCAACACATCAGGACGGACCGATCCAACGGCACAACAGCGGTTCTACTGCCGCATCTATTTTTTCCAGGTGATAACCAACAAGTTGCTCACACTACATACTCGATCTATACTTTCATACAATGCCCAGATTGAGATTAGTAACATATGAAAACTCCAGATCATGCATGTTCTTATCTCCTTTGTTTACCTCTGAGGCTTTACTACTGTATTTTGAAAGGGTCCTGGCGAGAATGTGACGTCACACATGACGTCACTGAGTCACTAAAATGTTTGGATTGGGCCTTGCTTTGTGGGTGGTTGCTATTTAAACTGTGTGTTTCTGTACTCTCTGCCACATGTCATTGCTTGAGGAAGGGGATCCTGTGTGACCCCCGAAACGGTTGTTGCATCTTTGTGACATGACGTATTTCTGCAATAAATAAGACTTTGTTTCATGCTTACATTGGAGTGCCGGTGTCCCTGTGTTCTGCTATTTACCCGACTTGACCCAGTCTTTTATATTTTACCAAATGATTGGGTAATAATAAATGTATTATAACATAATGTTAAAAAAACCAAAACAAAAATTCCCAAATTTTCTGTAATTTTTCCTTACTATAGTAAAAAATAAAAACCTCAGTGGTGATTAAATACCACCAAAAGAAAGATCCATGTGTCCCCAAAAACATGGTATAAAATTTCATTTCAGTACAGCGTTATATGACGGAATAAATGTCAGTCAATGTACTGCAGTGCTGAATACTGAAAAATGGCCTGGCCAGGAAGGGGGTCTAAACACCTGGTCAGCAAGTGGTTAACATGTTACCTGCCTATGTGCCTACAATTCTTCTCCTTTTTGACATACTTCTAGTTCGTTATGACTTGTATAATGGAGCATTCCATGAATAAAAAAGAAAAGGCATATGTTAAAAAAAAACATATTGTTGCTATTATGTTATGCTATTATAATATGTTATTTGAATTTTTTCAGACTTGTATGTTGCAAATTACAACCAATGTGTGCCTTGAAATTATTTTGTGTGTATACAATAACAAAACTTTCAGTAAAAAGGTGCTAAGTAGTGATCTTCTGTATTTCAGAAACAAGCAAAAGGGCAAGATTTGTTCGACCAGCTTGTATACCATTTGGATTTAGTGGAAACTGATTATTTTGGTCTACAGTACATGGATGCTGCCCAAGTGTCGGTATGTATCTTCTGTTGTTGTGTCTCTGAACATATTATTTTTCCTATTAATACTCTTGGAAACTACAGGGACCATTGAAAAAAAATACTGTAAATTGGATCCAGTATGCACTCAAAGGTTTATTGTGTAAAACCCTTTTATTCAGTGGTTTCCCTTTTCTGCTTCTCTATTTTTTAATATGAAGTCCCATAGTGGTGTGTTATCACTGTAAATTAAAATGTCATTGGGGTCATGTCTGTATCCCTTTAGAAGTAATGAAACCTTAGGGAGTTTCTAACCAAAAAAAAAATAGGAAGGGATGCCAAAAATGATTGTGTTTCAAAGACAAGAGGTCACTTGGTATACAGGAAAACCGGTTATATACCATAGAATAACACAATAAATCCATATGTCCTTTGGAAATTAAACTCCTCCTAAACATTATTACAGCCTTAGCCCTTAAAACTGTAGATATCCAAGAAATAGCAGTATCAAAACATATAAAACTCAATTCATAATGTTTGCTACATTAATAAATAGAAACAAACTTCATCACCCTTGTTTAAATATATAGATCACCCCATAATTATTTAAAACTATCAAAAAAATTATAAATATAAATATTCCCAGCACAGAACATATGAATTTTCCATTTTCTTCTGCTTCTTATTTAAAAGTTCATACATTCATAATTTATTGCACACGTTTCATTAACCACCCCTTAAGGCCTCATTCACACAAGAAAAAGCCGGCATGTACAGCTCCGTACTGCGTATCGGGCAGCTCCCGGGAAGGACAGGTGCTGCATGTGATTAGTACATAGTCCCTGTCCTCTATTGGAGTATGCCGCCATACGCTCACCCGCCCTGCACGTCCGTGCGGGTGTGTGTACTCGAACGCTGGCGGGATGGATCCTGTCTGCGGCCGAGCCAGGGACACCCGCACCCGTACGGACCTGCACTTGAGGTGAACGTAGGGCGGCGTACAGCCGCGTACTCCAATAGACAAGGACAGGGGCTGCGTACTAATCACATGCAGCACCTGTTCTTCCCTGGAGCTGCCCTGCACGGAGATGTACGTGCCGGCTTCTTCTTGTATGAATGAGGCCTAAACAGCAGCAGTCTATCGTATATTAATTCATACGTTATATATCGTATATTACGCAACTCAATGCTTGCAGATCAACTAGTCCAGGCATGAGAGTACTTTGTATAAGTTCTCTAGATAATGTGAGAGTGGCAAACTTTCTCTCAATTAGAAGGTTTCACATTATCCAATGATAATTGCATATGCCTGCGATTTCGCCAGCAAAGACCTGTTTGGATTCCATCTCATCATGTGCAACATTCACCAATATCAATTGCATGAACTTGCTTCAAAAAAATAATTGCCTCTGAAACGAGAAGACCATGTTTAGAAAGTGTCTAGTAGCTGTATATGCATATTTAAATCGATTGATTTGCAGCATGTATTCCACAAAGGAAGGAAACAGGTGTTATATCCATCCTTACTCACGTGTGCTTGGTTCATAGGTCTCTGGAACAATGGATATTTCATTGCACATCATGATGCTAAACATATTTGGAAGCTCCACCTCTCTGAGTTTCATCCAAGATCCACATCCGGTATGAATTACCTGATGTGGATCTAATGTCACCATTCAGCAGCAGGGAATCAACGCTACCGTGTCTGAAACATCGCCCGTTCCCTAACGCGTTTCCTCCCAACATTGGATTTCTTCAGAGGGGTAGTGTGACATTAGTCAATTAATACCGGATGTGGATCTTTGGATGAAACAACTCATAAGGAAAGGTGAGGCTCCAAAATACTGTATGTTTAGCTTCATGATATGGCCACCTGCTATAATGAACCCTTTTTTGTACATCCCACAATCACTTCTACAGCTTGTGGAAGGTGCCCACCCCCTTGCATGTTTCCTGGGCTCTACTGCCCCTCCTGGGGGACCAGGATGTCCATGTCTGTGCTTCGTCTGCGGGGAAAGCGAAGAACTATTAGCAGTTCACTGATCATCCCTGCAATGAACAAAACTGGAAGTGATAAGCTTTTTGTCACTTCTGCTTTCAGTGCTGTCATTCTCTGGGCTTGTGGATTTTAAACACAGAGTTAGGATACAGTGACCAAAATACATAATAAGAAAACACTTTTTTTTTTCAGGAAGCAGTTCATTGAAGCAATTGGAAGAACTTATCTTAACAATCAGCAAGCCTTTGTCTTGAATATAGTTGTAGCAAACAGAAGCATAATACATTAGTCTACTTTACCTCATTAAATCCATGGAAGGCTGAACAGTACAGTAAACAGCTGACACTTGTGTTTAGTTATCTGGGAATCCAGAGTTTTAACTACTACACTACATCTTGTGATACAAATAACTGCAGCTGAAATTTTCTTTAAAGTGGATCCCCAGCCAAATAGATAAATATATCCAAAATACTGAACATGGTTTTTCTGTCTAATTAAAAATGATTGTTATTAATTTTATCCTCCCTTATAAATCCCATGCCAAAACCCTAAGCCAAAGTGACTTAACATATGCTTTAAGAGAAACATAGAGATCTAGGTGATTATTCTAGGGATATTTAAACATCTTATTATGTTAGAATGAACCATAAATGATCAAAAGTGTGTTCTTGCCTAATTCTTACCCAAAGTTCGATTTTTTTTTTTTTTTAATTTCTTAAATTTTCAGCCAGTTAATTCAGAATAGTCATAAAGTTTCTATAAATCACATTGGCTATGGATTTGATTTTGTAGATTTCTTTTTTTTTTTCTACATGCCTTGATACGGGGTAAATACCATTTCAAAATATTTCTTTTGTTTTTATTATTGGGTACAAAAAACACTGTTCTAGTGCATATTTTTTTAGGGCCTATTCAAACCCACACTAAAGATGCATGCTTAGTGAACAGACCTAGTTTCCTTTATCAAACACAAACTGTTGCACATAGATGTGAACCAGACGTGTAGGAAGGAATGGAAGTTTTGATTCAAATACATTTTGGGGGGGGGGGGGGGGGGAGTGATAATAAAAAC